GCTCGACATGCGGTGGGGAGTGAAGTGTGGCCGTAGTGGACCATGAGCAGCACCAACATGAGGCTGAGTGATTTCCTTTGGAATTATGTTGGCGGCAGGGCGGCCGTTGATGAAAGACTACAATGTGACGATGGAGATGTTTGTTCAGGAGCCGGATGATTACGTACAAGACCAGCGGCTTCTTGAAGAAATTATTAACTTCACTGCGCACCAAGCGCTGGAGGCCATTACTAAGCCTCTTCACGAAGGTGTGCTCTCTCTCGGGCAGCGTAGGGACTATGAAAGAAAGGATACGATCACTCCTCTTGCAAGGGGAAAACCAAACGGGGTACTCACGCAGGTACTGACAGAAGCGAGGCGGGAGGCAGAGGGAAGGCTAAGACGAACGCAAGAAATGAAATTTACCATTTCCACTAATATCGAAGATGTACTGTTTAAATGAAGGGTTCGCGTCAATGAAATGAAGCTGAACGACTTTCTTGCGAGGGAACTGGACGGCAGGGGCATTGTGGACACCAATCGGGATGTCTTGCTGGAGGAGTTTTTCAAGGACCCCACGAAGTATATCCGTGATAAAGGAGCATTGAACGAAATACAGGGATCAGGTCATTATTTGAGTATGAAGCGAGCTGCAAAGGGTGAAGCGATCTTCGATGAGGATATACGCAAGCTTTGCGATAAGGGTGTCAACAATCTACCGGGGTGGTCATTAGCTGCTGCGGAGGTAAAAGCAACTGTTCATAACTCCACTAAACATTTCTTGGATGCGGCTACCGAGGAAGCGAGGAACCCAACGACGACGAGCGCACCGGAGAAACTGGAGGGATGCTACGAGTCTGTGTACAATGCGAGGTGGCACCATGTCGTGGAAGTATACGACGACACAGAAATGGGAATGGATGTGAGGGAGGGGGAACCACCGCAGCCATGGACTTACAAGGCAGTTGGCCAAACTCTCGAAAAGAATGACGCTGTGCAGCAATTCGGTGCAGCACCTCCCGTGTTGATGTTGCTCGCCTCGGAGAAGGGATGGCCGTACTCGTGGAATACGATGCAGGATCCTCCTAAGGACGTTTTTGTAAACTGTGAGTTGGAGCGAGTGTGGCAGATCGTCAAGGGCGATCTAACCGCGTGGTTCAGCCCTCACGGTGGGACCGACTTTAAGCCCAAGCGGCGTGTGTTGATTGGGACGCCCGGGATAGGGAAATCGGTGGCTGTCGGCTCGTACCTCCTCTACCAGCTGCTGCACTACGATCTCGAGAAACTCCAAGTGGTAGTCCACTGTTTTGGTGGAGGAGATGCGTACGTGTCTGACAAAACCACCAGAGCGGCGACAAGATACGGCGATGAGGACATGTGCATCTCGGAGTTGAGAAGTTTGAGGGGGCATGGGAGGAATGTGTACATTATCTACGATGTGGCAAAGAAGGGAACGCCGCCACCGAGACATTTTGCGCCTACTTCTGGATTGGGCATGATTGCGGTGTCATTGCCAAAGGTAACCAACTATGATGAGTGGGCGAAGCAACTACAAGCCGCGTGAATCATCGTGAATTGCCCCGACGAGATGGATGTGAAGGCGATGTGCGCCTGGATAACGCGTGATGAGACTAAAGAGAAACAAGCGGAATACTGGAAAGAGGTCAAAAAACACATGTATCTTTTGGGACCGATTCCACGTCACGTCTTTGATGAGGGGGCGTTTAAGGAACGCTGCGGAGCGGTGAGGTTTGCATTGCAATCGATCAACGAGGTAACTGTGAAAGAGCACTTTTCACGGGGAGGTGAGTCGCCATGGTATTCTGAGGATCCGTCCCACAAGCCTGTGAAAGTTGTTCGGGAAATATACGCAGGCGGTGTGATCCTTTTCAATGCACCGATATCTGCTTACCTCGAGGAACGGACGTTGGAACGTTTCCCACGTGTAACGAAATAAAATAGCTTTTTGAAGCTGATGTTGACGTCGAAGGATAATATTTTTGCCAATTTTTTTTGGATGGTTTGCTTTGAAATCGTTCACGGAGAGTGCCTTTGTCAGGGTAATAGCGACGAAACTCACGGAGTTTGGGCCACCAACAGGACGTCAAGCAAAGCCCTGCGTCTTGAAGTTGGCCCCTGAACCGCATCCCAAGGGAGATGAAGGTTTGCTGCCGAGTGAATATGAGAAAACGATCCGTAAAATAAAGTACGGGGTGCTGTACAAACCGTGGGCCGCAAACTTTCCGCTGGTGGACGCCTTTTTTTTTTCTCGGAGTCCAATCCAATGACGGTGGTTGGGCTGCGGATGAATACGACGGGTGGGCACCACACGACCGCCAGCACTGTGAGGCAGTTCACTGAGTGCGTGGCGGCATATTTTAGTGGTTGGGAGGAGTTATCCCGAGACATGTCGTGGGAGATTATTTATGTGCAGCACCCAGACAGCACGCCGATGAACGACTGGCAGAGATGTGATGTCGAGAATTCCAATAATGCGAGCGACGAGAGCCGTGAGACTCGGTGTTCTGGGAGGAAGAGGTGCACCAGTACCAAGTGTCAATATCGTGCAGAGACTTTAGAAGAGAAGAAGCTTTCCGAAGTGTGCAAAAAAAAAAAAAAATAATAATAGGAAAATAGATTAGGAAATTGAAAGTGAACGAGACAGTTTGATTTGTGGCAAAAAAAAATATTGTGGGATTTATGTATTTTTGGATGCTTGTGTCCGAGCATGCGGTGCGGGTGCACCATCTCCAGGCGGCAGCACCGCACACAAATGCCAAAAATGTCCAACGCTATCGAACATAACAGTGACAAAAGAAATTAGGGAGGGAGTGGGGTTGTTTGGTTTCTGGTAGAAAAACATTGGGTGATTTTTATATGTTATTTTGATTGTGTGCGCATACGAGGCATAATCGGAGAATTGCCCCGGTATGAGAGAATCATTGTGGCTGGCGGTGTCACGGCGTTACTGCATTGTCCATTTTCTTCTATTGTGTTCGAAGGCCCATCACTAACAGAGGCATCTTTAAGGGATGGGCGACGAATAAGTTCTATTGAGGAAATGGTGTGCTCCGTGTAACCGCGTGGAGTGAGGCGCCGCGTCATGGCTGGATGAGGATCCACTTCCTCGTGTGGCTCTTTGGGCGATTGCTGGCTCCGTGTGCGTTGTGTGCCGGCAGCGGGCTGTGGCCGTATTCCGTTGCCGTGGGATTGAAATGGAGGCGGTGGCGGTGTGCCTCTTCTCGTTCTTGTCCATTGGTGGTTGATTGCTGGCGGTGTGTGCGTTTGTTGTGTGGAGGGCCGAATTTTCTTATCCGCGTACTGGCAGCACTGCGATGGTGTGTGTGTGTGAGGGCTGGTGTGGAGTCGCTGGCCAGGGCGAGGGCCTTTGGCGATGCTTTTCCCGCCTGTCGTTTGTTCCTTCCGTGTGTGTTATGCTGCTTCTTGCTTTTCTCCTGTCACCCTCTCCTCCTGTGTTCCTGCGTGGAGTGGCTGCATGCTCACGGGCCATGTTGATTGTGAGTGCCTCTTGGCGGCATCCATTCATATCTCTCTCTCCGCCTGTCTGTCTGTCATTCCCTGTTGGGTGTGGCGTGTTGCACCGCGTGAGGGCTGGCCCGCACACACCGACGGCCCGCTGTGACTTGCCGCGTTGCTGCTCTTTTCTGTGGGCGATGGTTCTCTGTGCTGTTCCTTCCGGATTGTCTCGTGTTGCTGCTCTCTGCGTGGGTGTTGTGCTCTGCTTCTCACTGACTTTTCTGGTGTATTGCCGCTGTTGCTGCTGTACTCTCCACTTCTTGAACACAGACACACTAGGAAGGAAAGAAAACAAGCGCTAATCGCTACCGTGAAATTCGAAGGCTCTGAAAGGACCAACAGCACACACACCGCCCACACACACATATTTATATGCTCTCACGTGCTGTTACAGTGAAGGCACCCCACACACACAACCGTCGCCGCGTGACCGGATCCAGCGGAAGGAGGAGGGAAGGAAGAGAGAGTGAGCGGCAGAGGTCCAACATGTCCCGGCGTGTGTTTACCTCTGCGGTGCTGCTCCTATTTGTCGTGTTGATGTGCTGCAGTGGAGCTGCGACCGCTCAGGTGGAAAATAATGCTGATGCTTCAACTCCTGGGTCGGCATTGACGAGTGCCATTACTGCAGAGGGGAGTGCTTCAGGGGGTGTTGAGGGGCTGCAACAGGTCGATCTATTTGTGCCGCAGACGACGCAGGTGCTGCCGAAGAAGGGGACTGGCTCAAGTGGGAGGGATTCATTTGTTTCACCCTCTCTCGTCAGTGCTGGTGGAGTAATTGCTGCTTTTGCCGAGGGTCACATAAATGCCAAAAACTCCCCTACCGAATCAACTAAGCCGTTTTCTGATGTTGTTGCGGAGTACATCGACTCTGCGTGGGATTGGTCCACTCTTGTTGGTGAGGTCGGTAACGAAACATGGAGGGCACACACTGTGCTTGGTAAAGCGGAGGGAAAGGAGAATTTGGATGTTGTGCTCCGCCCCACAACCACCACGAAGGGCAATAAGGTGTTTCTTCTTGCGGGAGGCACTGCCTTGTCCGATGTAAATGGGGATTGGAGAGAGGGCAGATTCGAACTAAAACTGGTTGTTGGTGAGGTCACGAAGCCTTCTGCGGGCGGCGAGCCGAGTGAGTGGATAAAATGGGGCGACCCAAAACCACTCCCGAAACCGATCTCTTCTGCTTCTCACAAAGGTGAATGGAGGGAGTTCATTGCTTCTGGTGGCGCAGGTGTTCTGATGGAGGATGGCACTATTGTGTTTTCTCTGATGGCGATGAATGAAGAAAATTTTTTTGACGTTTACTCCATGATCATTTACTCGAAGGACAACGGCAGTACCTGGATGTTCCCAGAGGGCACTTCTTATCCGAAATGCGAGACACCCCGCATCACCGAGTGGGAGGGATCACTTCTCATGATTGTTGATTGCGAGAATGGTCAGAGGGTGTACGAGTCGCGTGACATGGGTACAACGTGGACGGAGGCCATCGGGACACTCCCAGGCGTGTGGGTCAACGCACGATCAGGAGTCCCTCAGAAGGAAAGCCTGCATGTGGATGCCCTTATCACCGCGACCATTGAGGGAAGGAAGGTCATGCTGTACACACAGAGAGGGTACGCCTCGAGGGAGAAAAGGGCCACTTTGCTCTACCT